CTTCAATCCGAGGAGCGATGCTTTATCCACGGAGCCAAACTGGCAAGGGCTCAAACTTCAGATTTCAAGTGAGTGTTTGGCATATGTAGTTCTCCAAAAAAAAAAAAAAAACCTTAGTTTGATCCCCAACCTTACCTCTTTACAGATAATACCATCACTGGGTTAGGACATAATACTTTTCCTTCAGCTTTCATAAAAATTTGAGACAAGAAAAATTCATTTTAAAATATTTCTAGTCTTTAACAAAACTGTAACTTACAATTGTCTACTGGATAAAGCTCCAGAGATGAGGGAAGCTGTACCTAAATCGCATCGCTCAGCTCCCTTTACCTATAGCAGTGGTTCTCAACCTTCTGGCCCTTTAAATGCAGTTCCTCATGTTGTGACCCAACCATAAAATTATTTTCGTTGCTACTTCATAACTGTAATGTTGCTACCGTGATGAATCTGATGTAATGTAAATATCTGATATGCAGGATGGTCTTAGGCGAACCCTGTGAAAGGGTCGTCCAACTGCCAAAGGGGTCGCGACCCACAGATTGAGAACCGCTGACCTATAGGAAATGCCAGTTCTAAGAAGAGGCATGGAGGAGAGAACAAGCTCACTCTCTTGGAAGGAGGGATAAAGAGGGGAATGGAAGAAAAACCAGCAAACTGCCTAGAGGCCCTTCTGAAAAGTCGTGGATAACTAACTAAAGGGATCCAGACCATTAGGCCTCCCGCATCTCTGAGAGAGTGTCCACAGCCCATATTCCAGGATCCTACCCACGGGCCTCTAGGTGCTAGAAGCCAGAACAAGTCAAGCATGATGACCTAAGATTAGCTGAATTGAAGACAGGACAGTTCTTTTCTACCTGCTAAATGCATTGTTCTTGGGAGGTAAGGAAAGGTATCCAAATAAAAAATGGTGGGATGTATGAGGAAACTGGAAATCATAATTTCTCATCGGGAAAAATTGAAAATTATTTTGTGGAGAGCAGGAGAAAAAGGAAAGGAATTTGTGTCCCCCGCCCCGCTCCCTGCCAATTCCCAGGTCTCTTAGGCTATGATGTCTCCCCACAAAAGATAAAAAAACCTGGCAGTCTGTGTACCCCTGATTAATGGAAACAGATTTTCAGAGTAGCTTCACACTCCATTTAATTGTCTCCCTCCCTGACTCCAGAAATGCTTGATTTGGCTGTGTAAAAGTAATTCTAATTATAGTGATTTACATGAACTACTTACCATTTATGCCTAATTACCTCACAGCACAATAACAATTATGCATACATTAAACGTGTCAGATTAACCTGGTTGTAAGTCTTATTTGATAACAAAAGTAAAGTGTTCATACATGCTCATTCTTCATAGTTTGTTGCTAACATAACATGGTCATCTGCATGTAACTTTTTCAAAATTTTTAGTACAGAAAACCTTGCTATGTAGGTAGGTGAAAGCAGCCAAACAATATGCTACCAATTTTATCTCATTAATTAACGATTTTGGCAACTTGGGAAGGTGTACTTTATTTTAATATTATAGATTAGCCTTACAGAAAGTTTCTTAGGAGTACAATGAGGAAAAACATATAGTCCACTATAATGAATGTTTAAATATCTGTATTAAAAACAAAGTCAAGCCCTGACCAGTTTGGCTCAGTAGATAGAGTGTCAACCTGTGGACTGAAGGGTCCCAGGTGCGATTCCAGTCAAGGGCATGTACCTTGGTTGCGGGCACATCCCCAGTAGGGAGTGTGCAGGAAGCAGCTGAATTGATGTTTCTCTCTCATGATGTTTCTAATTCTCTATCCCTCTCCTTCTCCCTTCCTCTCTGTAAAAAAATCAATAAAATATACTTTTAAAAAAAAAGTCAAATGTTCATAAAACCATAAATTTTATTTACCAAAATTAAGAACACTATAAATAAAGTTCTTGTATTGCTGGAAAACCTAATAGTCCAATTTTCCTTCTCTGATAATCAGCATATCAGTGTTTATTTTTTATAAGAAATAGGTTTGTGGAATCTTACAATCTTCAAAAACTAAAGCTTTATAGATGTCTTACTCAAATTCTGTTAGATGATTGGGTCATTTTCTTTCTTTCTTCTTCTTCTTCTTTTTTTTTTTTTTTTGTTAATCCTCACCTGAGCATATTTTGCCATTGATTGTTAGAGAGAGTGGAAGGGAAGGAGAGAGACAGAGAAACATCAATGTGAGAGAGACACATCAAGTGGTTGCCTCCCGCACACACCCTGACCAGGTTCAAGGATCAAGCCTGCAACCAACGTATGTGCCCTTGACTGGAATTGAACCCAGGAACCTTCAGTCTGCGAGCTGACACTATCCACTGAGCATACTGGCTAGGGTGCTGATTGGGTCTTTTACAATGTTAAAGATTTGGTAGACTGAAGAAATTACAGGACAAATATTACCACAAAGAGATGTTTGATCTAACAACTAAACATTTATTCACATATGCTTTAGCATTTAACAAATATAAGCTTTCGTTAAACACATTGAAAGCTAGCTGACATGTCAAATCTCCTACTTACATAAGATTACAATTATACAATTAAACCAGGGTTATTTACTAGGTAGACCCATCATAGCCAATTCAGAAATCAATGGTGGAAGTGTGGGAGGACACCTCTAAGAAGAGCCAAACAATAATTTTTTATTTTTACTTATGGGTTTTATTTTGCCAAACAAAAATTTTAAAGGGAACAAATATTGTTGAATTGGCAACCAGATAAGTTAATGATTTAAGGACACTTCTGATTGGATGGGAAGTTCACCAACCACAGGAAGATGAGCCCGAGATGATACAGAAAGGGGAAGAGGAGAAAAGACTGTATTTTAAAAAGGAAGAGGACTAGAAAGGGAACAAGATATAAATTCATGAGACTAAATTCTCAGGTAACCAAAAAATCCCATTAAGTAAAACATCTTGTTTCGTGGCTATGACACATAACCAAGTTAATTGTTTTATTTGCAAGACCACCTATATTGCAATCTATAATTAGGAGGCAGTACATAAGAAGTCTAAGTTTTCCAAACTTTTTAGTACTTTACTCACTTAAAACTTTGGATATATGGTTAAAGGAGAAAAGGTTGGCCATCCAAAGGGGTGATTCGTCATTATTTCCAATAATTATTGTGCTGGACTAGTCAATCATAGTGCTACTATACTTGTGGTCTACTTCTGAGGGAAACAGCCCTGCTCACAGGAGGTCTGGATGGAAACTTATGCAGAGATCCCACCTTTTCACTGACTAGTGGCCTCTGAAAAACCCGGTGTGAAAGCTCTACCCAAACACTCATGAAGTGATTGGTGATGAAGTGATCAGATTCTTACAGGGCAATTTAAACCACAGATTCAGGGAGAGAATTTAGAAGCTGGTAAAACAAACAGAAGTGAAAATGGACCTGGCGGGGAAAGTAACAAAAGAGGAAATGGATTTCATGAGTAGGAGAGCAGTGGAGTAACTAGTACCTGCTACTACTGCCTGTCAACTCTTCAAAGCTTTCAGAGGCATTGGTTCTGCTCAAGCTCCAGGAGGCTGGCTGTGTAATGGAGATGCCCTTCATTTCTATATGCATATGCAGTGTTTCTAAATCTCCATTTCTTTCTGTAACCTAGGTGAATCTCTATTCCTTTTAACCAAAAGACATTAACACAATGACAGCCTTTTTCTTTACATAAAAATAAAACTATTTAATTATACTGAGTGCTTTTTAAAAAGTAAAATTACTCTCCATCATTTTTAATAAAGCACAACTAACACATATTATACAGGACCTTTCTCCTAAAGACCACATAATAAACAAATATTCATGTGTGGGAGCAGGGGATGGGCGATTTGGCCAATTAAAAGAAAACTAGTTCCTTTGATTAAACCACATTCTGACTCTTATTACTATTAATATCCTTCATAATTTGAAGATGACACCGCTGAGGACATTGACTTCTATAATGGGATACGGAATGGGAGTTTTCCTGTCATCTTAGAATTTCAGCAAAAGCTCAAAACTGAGGATAAGGGGAGATAAGGTTTCCTACACTCTTAAGAGAGGCACTAGTCAGATCCATGCAGGAATTATTTAAAAAGGGCGGGGGGGAAAAAAAAAAGGCGACCAGCTCTAAAACCAAAGTAGAACTGAAGAAAGTCATCAAAGTGAAAGCTGTTAGCTGGGTAAGAAATGCTGTGGCATTTCCTCCAGATAAACCTCATGCCAAGTGCAGGGGTAACCTAAGAGAAGCATCTAAAAAAGTGAGGATTGAGTGTGAGCAGAATGCTTGCTTAGGTGAGGAAATCTATAGTCAGCTATCAAAGCAGGGTGTGGAAGAGTTCATGGAAGAACCTGACATGTCCCCAGGATCATGGGAGTACACAGGACTAAGACAGAAACTGATGCCTACTTTATCAGCAGAGGTCCAAGGGCAGGAGGCTGACGAAAGCTGCCTGTGCAGTGGTGTGAGGTATTCTGATACAGTCGTAAGAGGTCAAAGAGTGGAGCACTGGGGCGGTCCTAAGGAACCCACCACTGTGCCCCTCAACAAAGAGCTAGCATGTCAATATCTATCACACCAAAGGCCCTTAACTGGTCACTGAAGACTGCTATTTCACTCTAATCTTCTATCCCTCTCATTCTGACCCTAGAGAAGCCAGGCAAGCAGAGAGAGGAGGAGGAGGGAAAGGAGAAGAATAAATCACTCCACCTTCACTGCTGATCCTCGGCTATGCCTCAGCAAGAGAAAGGGAAACATTTGAAGGGCACTCAAGTTTTTATTTTGACTGGATGGCACCAACTATTATGTAAACATGAAGCAATCTGAATCCCCCCAAGGTGAAGGAAAGCTATGGAACATCAAGAGGTCAGATATGGGGATCAACAGAGCTTATTTGAAGGAACTGGTGGGAAATTTTCAAGCTGTTTCAGATTGTACCCGACTGCATCTAATCCATTTTATAGAATGCTTATACTTTTAACTGTTTAATCTTTAGCATCACACAAACCTCACCTTTGAAAAAATGCCTTCTGCCTCTATACTGTATCCTTTAAGGTCCTCGTGTAACTTCTGCAAACACTGTATGACTCTTCTTTGATGTGCATCCTCCTTTATCTCATGATTTTTTATCAGAAAGTCATAGTGGTCCAGAGGTCCATGGCAAAAAGCCAAAGCTTTCACATAAGTTTCTGTGGCCACAGATGGAGACATACTCTCGGGTATCTGAACTGTATAGGCTATAAACAAAAAAATATATAAAATGTTAGACTTTCTTAAATGGAGATATTTCATAGTGCTCATATACATGTTTCTTAATAGTCACATTAAAACTTTTAACCTGTTACAGATATATATCTGAGCATTTATTGTAAATAGCATTCTGATAAAAACAATTTTACACAGTAAATACATTTAAAACCATCTCATCTTAATAAAACGACCCTGGCTGGTTTGGCTCAGTGGATAGAGCATTGGCATGCCGACTGAAGGGTCCCTATTTCAATTCCAGTCAAGGGCACATGCCCAGGTTGCAGGCTCAATCCCTAGTGGGGAGCGTGCAGGAGGCAGCTGGTCGATGATGCTCTCTTATCATTGATTTTTCTATCTTTCTCTCCCTCTCTGTTCCTCTCTGAAATCAATAAAAATATTTTTAAATAAATAAAAGGGAAGAAATCCAAACCCATAAGCTATAACTGTAGCCCCTCCTCTACAAAACCTACCTGCTGTAGAGTCTCTGCTCACCCCACTCCATTGAACAAGAGCGCTGGGTTCATCAGCTCTCCCCACAGCAGGCTGTCCCTCTCTCTGAGTCAGGCCTAGTTATGGTTCTTAAGCGCCAAGGCAGAGACGTACAGGCTAGTCACCAAAGATTCTCTATTGCATTTTTTTACTCTCTATCCAAAACCACACAGCATCCAGACTTCACCACATGACTCCAGTCCTCTGTTTATGAGATTCCTTCCCTTTTCCATAACCTTTAGGTAGAACACAAAGATTTGGAACACAATAGTGTCCATTTCTAAGCAGGATGGTGTTCTGATCTCTCCTTTAGCCTTCCTGAGAGAGAAATGATTGGCCATGGTAAGGTCCAATCATAACTGCATCCCTTATGTGGGTAGGTGCAATGAGTAGGTAACTATTTTTTAGAAGCATCAATAAACAGCAGTCAATGGACACATTTTTTAGAAAAAGATTTTGCGCCAAAACCGGTTTGGCTCAGTGGATAAAGCGTCAGCCTGCGGACTGAGGGGTCCCGGGTTCGATTCCGGTCAAGGCATGTACCTTGGTTGCGGGCGCACCCCCAGTGGGGAGTGTGCAGGAGGCAGCTGGTCGATGTTTCTCTCTCATCGATGTTTCTAACTGTCTATCTCTCTCCTTTCCTCTCTGTAAAAACTCAATAAAATATATTTTTAAAAAAAAAAGAAAAAGATTTTGCACAAGTACATTGCCAGTGTTTCTCTTATTTGATTATCATGTTTCCTTTGTTTCAATATAAAGATTACTTACTTTAGAAGAAATTAACAGTGACAATGTTATTTCCATCTTTTTCCCAAGAGAGAAAAAAAAATCTAAGTAAGTCATGAATGTCCAGGATAGGGCAGGGCTATCTTCTAATAACTGTTCTTTCTGAATAGAAGTTTTGGTTAAGTATAAGGCTACCCTGTTAAATATTCCATGTCCTGGCCTCTCTTGCAGCCAGGGTGGCCAGGGGACCAGTTGGAGATAAAACTGTCTTTGTTTATAGATGACATAATCATCTATGTAGAAAACCCAAAAGAAGCATGAGTGGAGGGCGAAGGGGGAGAGGTGGGGGTTAACTGGGGGGGATGAGGACACACTTGTAATACCTTAACCACTAAGGAAATTAAAGATTAAAAAAAAAAAGAATCAACAAAATAAATCTTGGAGCCCTGGCCAGGTGGCTCAGTTGGTTGAAGCGTCATCTCATACAGCAAAGGTTGTGGATTCTATCCCAGTCAGGACACATAGCTAGGTTGCAGGTTTTTATCTCTGGTTGGGGCAGGTATGGGAAGCAACTGATTGGTATTTCTCTATCTCTCCCCTTCCCCTCTCTCTCTAAAATCAATTTTTTAAAATATCCTTGGGTGAGGATTAAAAAATAAATAACTCCTGGAATTAATAAGCAATTGTAGTAAGGTTGTAGGGTACAAGGTTAATATATAAAAGTGGAATTTAGGCGTCGCCGGGAGCTTTGCCGCCAGCCGCTCCTCGCCTCTCTCTCCTCTCCCGGCCAGAGCCCGGGGGACAGAGCAGGAAGCCAGGACCATGTTCCACCGCAAACTGACGGCCCTCGACTACCACAACCCCACCGGCTTCAACTGCAAAGATGAAACAGAATTTAGAAACTTTATTGTTTGGCTTGAAGACCAGAAAATCAGACACTACAAGATTGAAGACAGAGGTAATTTAAGAAACATCCACAGCAGTGGCTGGCCCAAGTTCTTTGAAAAGCATGTCACAGATGTTAGCTGTCCTTTCAAGATTCAAGATCGACAAGAAGCAATTGACTGGCTTCTTGGTGTAGCCGTTAGACTTGAATATGGAGATAACGCTGAAAAATATAAGGACTCGGTATCTGATAATACAAAAAATGCTGACAATGCAGCTAAAAATGCAGAGCCATTGATCAATTTTGATGTTAATAATCCTTACTTTAAGGGTGGTGTAATGGCTTTGGCTAACCTTCTTCAGATTCAACATCATGATGATTCCCTGGTAATGCTTAAGGCAATTCGCATTTTGGTCCAGGAGCGCCTGACACAGGATGCAGTTGCTAAAGCAAATCAAGCAAAAGAGGGGTTGCCTGTTGCTTTAGACAAGCATATCCTTGGTTTTAACACCGGAGATGCAGTTCTTAATGAAGCTGCTCAGATTCTGCGATTGCTGCATATAGAAGAGCTCAGAGAGCTACAGACAAAAATTAATGAAGCCATAGTAGCTGTTCAGGCAATTATTGCTGATCCAAAGACAGACTGCAGACTGGGGAGAGTTGGAAGATGAACCTGTTAGGATCTCAGCCTCTCACCTGTTTAGTACAGTTGGGAACCATGCACACCGTGGTATGTGTTTCAAAATCAAACATCACATTTTCAAGGGAAGAGTCCCAGAAAATTGACTATGTTTTAGAGATTTACCATCATTGCTTTTTCTTTAATAAAGTTTGGGAAAGCGGGAAAAAAAGTGGAATTAAAAAAAACACAAATTTAAAAAACATTGAAAAAGAAAAAGAAAAGTGGAATTTAAAATTAAAAACACAAAAAAAGATAAAATTAAAAATATAATATGATTTACATTACCAGCCCCCCAAAATAAAATACTTGGGTATAAATCTAACAATAAATGTACAAGATCTATCATGAGGAAAAGAGTTTTATAGTTTGGTTCATCAGAGTTTTGTAGTGAACCAAATCAAAGAACTTAAAAATGGAGAAATATTCCATGTTCATAAATAGGATGCCTCAATACTGTCAAGATGTCAGCTCTTTCCAATTTGATCTATACATTAAATGCAATCCCAGTCAAAATCCAAGCAAGTTATTTTGTAGATACTGGCAAAATAATTCTAAAGTTTAAATGAAGAAACAAAAGACCCAGAATAACCAACACAATATTGAAAGAGAAGAACAAAATTGGAGGACTGACACCACCCAACTTCAAGTCATGATAATCAAAAGAATAGACAAATAGATCAATGGAATAGGATTCTGAGCCCAGAAATAGACCCACATAAATACAGACAACTGATCTTTGACAATGGAGCAAAGGCAATACAATAGAGCAAAGATAATCTTTTCAACAAATGGTGCTGGAACAACAAGGAAAAACAAAAAACAAAAAAATGAATTTAGACACAGACCTTTCACCCTTTATAAAATTTAACTCAAAATGAATCATAGACCTACATGTAAATCATAAAACATAACTCCTAGAAGATACCCTAAGAGAAACATAGGAGGCATAAGAGAAACCTAGATGACTTTGGTATATATGATAACTTTTTAGATACAACACCAAACGCAAAATCCATGGGGAAAAAAATTGATATGCTGAACTTCATTAAAAGTAAAACCTTGGCCCTAGCTGGTTTGGCTCAGTAGGGCACATGACTGGGTTGCGGACTCAATCCCCAGTAGGGGGTGTGCAGGAGGCAACCATTCAGTGATTCTCTCTCATCATTGCGTTTCTATCTCTCTCTCCTTCTCCTTTCCTTTCCTCTCTGAAATCAATAAAAAAAATTTTTTTTAATTAAAACCTTGTGTTGTAAAAGACAGTGCCAGGGTCTCATTAAAGAATAAGCCACAGACTGGGAGAAAATATTTGCAAAAGATCCATCTGATAAAAGGACTGTTATCCAAAATATACAAAAAAACTGTTAAAACTCACAACAAGCCTGGCTGCCATGGCTCAGTGATTGAGCATTGACCTATGAACTAGGAGGTCATGGTTCAATTCCTGGTCAGGGCACATGTCCAGGTTGCAGGATCAATCCCCAGTGTGGGGTGTTCAGGAGGCAGCCAATCAATGATTCTCTCTCATCACTGATGTTTCTCTCTCTCTCTCCCTCTCCTTTCCTCTCTCTTTCACTAAAAATCAATAAAAAAAAATTTTTAAACTCACAACAAGAAAACAATCTGATTTTTAAAATGGACCAAAGACGTTGACGTACAATTTATGATGGATAGGACTACAGAGATACAGTCCTAAAAAGCACAGCTACCAATAAATAAAAGTGGGCCAATGCCCTTAATAGACACCTCACCAAAGAAGACATATGGATGGCAAAGAAGCATATGAAAAATTCTCCAAGTCATATGTCATTAGGGAAATGCAAATTAAAATAATAAGATACCACTATACAGCTATTTGAATGGCCAAAACACTGACAAATGCTGGCCAGAATGTGGAACAACAGGAGCTCTCTTTCGTTCCTGGTGGGAATGCAAAATGGTACAGCCACTTTGGAAGACAGTTTGGTGGTTTCTAACAAAACTAAACATAGTCTTATTTTTTTTTTAAGGGAGTTGGCATCTTTTTTTTATTATTGATTTTTTACAGAGAGGAAGGGAGAGGGATAGAGAGTTAGAAACATCAATGAGAGAGAAACATTGATCAGTTGCCTCCTGCACACCCCCTACTGGGGATCAAGTCTGCAACCCAGGTATGTGCCCTTGACTGGTATCGAACCCGGGACCCTGCAATCTGCAGGCCAACACTC